GGTATGTGGAAAGGATAACTGTATGTAATAAATATTTATTTATTGATTGAATGAATAAGTTTAGGTATCTGTGGTCATGCCATCCCTCTATGATACTATAAACTCCATGAGGGCAGAGATCATGCCATATCTAAACACACAGTAGGTGTGCTTAACAAATGTTTATTGAATGGATGAATAAATGGATAAATGAACAAATGAATAAATGAGTACAGTCTTAAAGCTGATGCATTTTATGATGAATGCTGGAGAGGATGTAGGAAAACTTGCACACTAATACATTGCTGGTGGAGCTGTGAACTAGTTTAAGCATTCTGGAAAGCAATTTGGAACCATGCCCTATTAAACTGTGTTTGTCCTTTGAACTAGCAATACTGTTAGCAGGGCTACACCTTAAGGAGATTAAAAAAAATGAAAAAGACTCATATGTACGAAAGTTTTATAGCAATTCTTTTTTGTGGTGGTAAAGAATTGAAAACTGAGGGGATGTCCATCAACTGAGGAATGAATGAACAAGTTACGATGTATGAATGCAATGAATACTATTATGCTCTAAAAAATGAGGAAGGGGATAGTTTCTGAAAAACCTGGGAAGACCCCATTGAACTAATGCAAAGTAAAACGAGAACTAGAAGAATAATCTACACAATAACAGCAATTGTCAAAATAGTAAACTGTGAAAGACTTAGTAACTGATCAATACAATGACCCACCACAATTCCAAAGGACTCATGATGAAAAATTCCACCCCTCCCCCAGAAAACTGATGAACTGAGAGTGGGGACTGAATATTTTTTTTCTTCCTTCCTTTTTATTCTTCCTCCCTTTCTTTTTTCCTTCCTTTCTTCCTTCTTTCCTTCTCTCTGTTTCTGTCTCTCAGTCTCTCCCTGTCTCTGTCTTTGTCTGTCTGTCTCTGTCTCTGTCTCTGTCTGTCTGTCTATCTCTCTCTCTCTCTCTGCCTTCCTCTCTTGAATGTGCATAATACAGAAATTTGTTGTGCAAGAGTATACACATTTGTGATAGGAGAAAAAAAAAGAAACAAAAGCAAATGAATTTTAATTCAATCTCCCAGACTCCTCGAGTCATTGTCACAGAACGTCCTGGTGCTCCTTCTTGCTGTTGGCATGCCCTTCTTTGGACCTATTTCTGCCATTTTAACAGAGGCAGGAATCTTTTCTTTTCTTTTTTTCAAAGAATGAGCCAATCAAATTCTCTCTGGACTTCTGCCCAGTGTTCTGGCTGGCTACTCTCCTGCATGGTGTGTATGTTTTCAGGGTGGAGTCACCAGGGTGATGACAAGTTAGAACTGACCCTGAACTACCCTCTTCCCCTGCACATTCTTTGAATATTCTCCCTCAACGCTGCAGGAGTCAAATGCAACAAATGTTTCCAGAAAATCATTAACTCTGCCAGTATCAGTGAAGGGGATCCATTAAGGTTTGGTGTGCACAGAAAATGCATTTTTTATTGAAAAATAAGTCTCTGGATTTTTCCAATCCAGATTGGAATAATTGGATTATTCCAATGTAGCTTTAAATTTTTTGTTTGTTTTTTTTTTTTTTGCCAGATATAACCTGACAGACTTGTCTTCGCCTAATAGAATGCAAGCTCTTTGAAGGCAGGGACTGTGCCTTTGTATTGTATTCTTGGCACTTAGCACAGCACCTGGCACACAGGGCTTGATAAACACTTTTTCATTCATAGCGAGCTGGATTTGGAGTCAGGTAGAGCTGGATTCACATCCCACTTTTGCTCTTACCAGCCGTGTGGTCCTGGGCAATTTTCTGAGTCTCAGTTTTTGTTCAGTTGTTCTACGTGTCTGACTCTTTGTGACCCCATATAGGGTTTTCTCAGCAAAGATATTGGAGTGTTTTGCCATTTCCTTCTGCAGCTCGTCTTACAGATGAGGAAACTGAGGCAAACAAGGTTAAGTGACTTGCCCAGGGTCACACAGCTAAGTGTCTGAGGCCAGATTTGAACTCAGAAAGATGAGTCTTCTTGATTCTACACCTGGGACTCTATCTCCTGTACCACCTAGCTGCCTGAGACTCAGCTTTCTCCTCTGAAAAGCAAAGACAATGGTCCCTGTAGTCCCTTCTTCACAGGATCATTGTGAGACTGTAAAGTGCTTTACAAACTGCAAAGTGCTGTGTGAATGTCTGCTGATATTTGTCATTGAAATAGCATGTTCAAGATCCAACTTTGTGGCTTTAGCCACTAGTCAATCTGCCCAAGTTTGGGCATTTTACAATGTTTGCTCAGCATATGAGACTGTCTAAGGTGCCATCTTGATCAAATATACACGCTTCTTTTGTTTTATATAATAAAATAACCAGTTTAACATAGAATACAATATAAAAATATAATAAAACAAGCAATCCATACAACAATTTAAGGTTTGAAAATGACTTCACAGCCATTATATCCTTTGCTGCTCACACAAAGGCCTCATGAAAACCCTATGAGGAAAGTACTGAAGGTAACATTATGCCCATTTTTCAGATGAGGAAACAGGTTCAGACTTGTCCGACTTATTACTTTACTGGTTACCCACTTCCTCTAGTAAGTGTAAAAGATTGGAGGCCAGGTCTTTTCTGCCTTTGGACCTCTACCTTAAGGTCCCAGTACATAGGGTTCAGTTCAATTCAACTCAACAAATATTTATTAAGAATCTACTGTGGACAGGGTAGGCAAGGGGAACCATGGATGGTCTCTTGGTGGTTTGCATTGTGCTACACTCTTTCTTGACACCTTCCTTTGGTCCTGTGCCATCCTATCTGTGTGAGCTCTTCCTATTAGAATGTAAGCTCCTTTAAGGCAAGGGCTAGCTGTGGTGTATTTGTAACTTACTATGTGTCTGGTATATAACATTTAAAAATGCTCATTGATTCCTGAGTTCAAATCTGGCCTCAGAAACTTGATACTTACTAGCTGTGTGACCTTGGGCAAGTCACTTAACCCCAACTGCCTCACCAAAATGCAAAAAAAAGAAAATGCTCATTCATTCATTCATTCATTCATTCATTCATTCATTTATTCATTCATACATCCTATTTCTCAAACATGTCCTATCCAAAATGGAAGTAGTTGTAGATGGGGCATGGCCAGGTCTGGGGAGAGGTTAGCACTGTGCAGCTGCTCTTTCTCCTTACTTCAAGCCCAGGTGGAACCCAGCTCCTTGTGCTTCAGATCAGGATAAAATGAGATGTGAAGGGTAAGGCTGACAGTGAAATCCATCAGTGTTCCTTCTCTTCATATGAATGTCTCCAAATAGTCCCCAGTGGGGCCTCTGAAGAGACATTTCAAGGGGATGGCAATAGGGGTAATCATAACAGTGAAATGTGGGGTGATATTTGTGCTCTCCTATGGGCATATGTACTATTGTGTGCTTGAGGAAAGAAACAGGAAACTGTCCAATATTTTGTATTATTTCAATTATTGCTCACCTTCCGGGTAGCAGGGGTTCAAAAGTATATATTAAATGAAGGATTGATTTAAAATGGACCATACTTAAAGGAAAAAATGAACAAACAAGAAAACCAGTCAATTTGAATCTTCAACTAGAGCAGAAAGGTAATGCGCCAGAGTGGATGGTGGGCTAGCCTTGGAATCAGAAGACCTGGGTTCAGGTTTTGCATCTGATACATACTGTATAAATATACATAGTTTCCTCATAGCTGTGTGAACTTGGGCAAATCACTTAGCCTCTCGGTTTGCCTAAGCAACTCCCTAAAACTATAAATTAATGAGGAATTGCTGATACAAATCAATGAAGGGAAGTCCCATACTAAAGAATTCCACCCATTGATGAAATCACAGGCACAGATCAAGTAGCAATCCCTGCCCCTCTCCAAGAGAGCAAACTGGCAACAAACAAGTTTTTCAAAATAATGATAGTGATACCTTACTATAAAATGCCTAATATGTGCAATGTGACATGATAGGCACTTGGTTGGATAAACAAGGATAAATGAGGCATGGTTCCCACCCACAAGGAGTTTCCAATCTAGTAGGGGTGATAAACCTCCATAAGAATGGAATTCGGTATAAAGTAGGAACATCAAGGGTACCATCCAAGGGACTTAATTACTGAGTGGATTATAATGTCCTCTTCCCAGCAATGTTTCACCTAAAGTACCATCCTATGGCACAGACTTCTAGGACCTATACAACAATATTATAGCAAAGTTCCAGACAATTCCAGCCACATTAACTTGATGCAAGCACAGAACACACCAGAAACTTTGGAAAATAGATAAAGAGATGGAACTATTTTGTGAAACCTAATGAGTCCAACCACCTTAAGTTAGTTATTCAGTCATTTTGCCAGTCATGTCTGACTCTTCGTGACCCCACTTGGTATTTTCTTGGCAAAGATGCTGGAGCGCTTTTGCCATTTCCAAGCTTATTTTACAGATGAGGAATTGGGGCAAATAGAGGTAAATGACTTGTCTAGGGTCACACAGCTATTAAGTATCTGAGGCTAGATTTGAACTCAGGTCTTCCTGACTCCAGGCCCAGTGCTCTATCCGCTGCACCACCTAGCTGCCCTTACCTTAAGTTAGCTGAGTGCCAAATGCCATTTAGCTTGGATCCTGAAAGTTATTGAGTCCTCCAAACAGAGATATTGCCTAGCTGTACATAGGATCATGCAGTTCATGAAACCCATGAGATCACCCCGTCCAATCATCTCATCTTACAGTTTCTGAATGCCTGGAGAGGTTTACAGCATGGACTTTGACAAGGAACATTAACCTCCCTGGGCCTTAGTTCTCTTATTTGTGCAATGGGGATTGGGCTATAATTTCTAAGGCTTCTTTTGGCTTATGCAGTAAGTAGCAGAACAGAATTAGAAGCCAGGTCCTCTGAATCCACATTCAGTACTCTTGCTACGGTATGGGTAGCAAGATGTGAGTGATTGGAATCTGAGGTTAAATGGCTCTTCTCTTTCGTGGGCATGCCCATTTCTAACAAGTATGAGGGGTTTCCCATTTCCTTACCCAGGTTTCAAACATATCTTCTGGACGCAGCCTGCGTAGCGTGGGTCTGCAGGGAAAGAAAAATATTTTACTCAGAGCTCTTATTTGCAACATGGCAGTCTCATCCCATTGACAAGCTTGGGAACAGTATATGGCAACAAGAGGTTTCAACTCAGATTCAGCTCCAAGGACCAAAAAGGTAAGGGAAGCCCCCCTCCCATCTGCTCCTTCCAACATGCTGCAAAGGAGATGAGCTGAGGTACATCGTGCAAAGAACCCCACCTGTATACACTCAGGCCCTCCAGCTTTAACTTAAGACTTCTCCCCACTCCCACCTCCTTCCAGAGGGTGTTTTCACCCAAAGATCATAAAGAATTTTACACATATTGGAAGAGATCAAGATGCTTGCCCATACCTCCATAACTCAACAACGTCTTCTTCTTTAAAGTTTACATTGATTATATTACCGTTAACAGATCCTTGCTGCTGGCATTTGTAGCAGCAGCAATAAACATATTTGATCAGGTTTTAAAGTTAGCAAAGCGTTTTCCAAACATTATTTCATTTGGTTTCAAAATCATCCTTTTATTTAGTCACTCTAGGTATTATTACCCACATTTTATAAATGAGGAAACTGAGGGCCAGACTTATTAAGAGACTTGCCCATGGCTACACAGCTAATAAGTGGGAGGGATGGGATTAAAACTCAGCTCTTTCTGACCTCAATCCAACACTTTATCTTTTACATCATTCTGACTTTCTATTCTGCCAAAGGTGCTGAAGACCTAAATCAATGAAGGGAAGTCCCTTACTAAGAATTCCACCCATTGATGGAATCACAGGCACAGATCAAGGAGCAATCCCTGCCCCCCTCTCCAAGAGAGCAAAAAGGCAGAGCCTTTGTACTGTCAAATGGTTAAACATTAGAAACTAATATTTTAATGGTAATGTCATTAAAGAAGATTCATTATCATCTGCTTTATTGCAGCAACCTAAGAATGATGGAGTCTTCCCATCGACTTGCAACCGAAATCCGCTACGTATGTTGTTGTCCCTATTAGAATGTGAACTTCTTGAAAGTGGGGATTATTTTGCTTTTTTTAATTTGTATTATTTTTAATTTGTATTTTTATTTGTATTATATGTGTGTTTGTAGTGGTTGGTACAGTGCTTTGCAAGTAAATACTTCATCAATGCTTTTTCATTCATTCATCTAGTCATCATTCAGCCATCTATTCATTCATAGCAACCTCTAGGCAGGTGAGCTGCTAAATGTTTAACAACTAGCTCTCTTAAATTACACATAAGCTACATCTATTAACATTTTCTCCATCATTTTCTTAAGTGTAGACAATTTAAAAAAATAAATCAAGCTCTGGTTTGTAGTTAGTTGTTTTCTGAGATATAAATCCATACACTGAAAATTTAACCATTGACCCTGGCAAGCTAGTTCAAGCCGTCTCTGGCACCCACCTGCCTCTAGGTCATGCCCCTATTTCTTCAATCACTTTGATTTTCCTCTCCCTCTCTCCCCAGCTCTGGCTTTTCATTATCCTCGATGACTTCCATATTCTCATAAATGACCCTTCAAACATCATGGCAGCCCCAAATCACACAGCTCTTCAACTTCCATCTGTACTTTACCTCAACCCCCCACAGGTGTTGTCTCATTTTAGGGCTTACCATCATCTCAAAATATTCCCACTGCAAGACTTGAATGCCCCATAGGCATCTCAAACTCAACATATCCAAAATGGAACTCATCATTTTCTTCTTCCTCTCAACCCCACTCCCATCCCTGACCACAACCAACCACTCTTCTTAACTTCCCTAATCCTTTGGGGCCTCTGTAAGTTTTTCAGTCTTCCAGGTTCACAATCTTAGAGTCACCATTTCATTCTCCTTGCCCCTCCCTACCCAGTTCTCTCACTCTATATCCAATCAGCTGTTATCTTGAACTGCTCTCACTTTGTAATTGCTTAATGAACTGAATTTGGGTGAATATAGAATTATTAAATTCCCCTATCTGATGACAATGATGTATCCTTCCACATTCCCCAACTTCTACTCTCCTGCCTCCCTCCTGAATATTCTCTTTACCTTCATCATGACCCCTGGTCCTTTGTGGATAGAGCTTTGGACCTGGAGTCCTAAATATTATCCCCTGAGCCAACTGATCTTTTTTTGGGACTCACACCTTCACAGTCCCACTAGAAAATTACCTTACCAGTTCACTGGCTCCCACTTGAGAATTCTCTTTTTTTGTACTTAGACTCTTAGAATCTTAGAATTTGATAGGTGGAACGGACTTCAGAGGCCATCTAGTTCACCACACAAATGAAACAGATTCTGACTACAACACACCTGAGAAGTACTCATCCAATGTCTACTTGGAGTTATCCAATGAGGAGGTACCCAGCTTGAGGCACCTTGGGACACACTTGAGGCACCCCATCTCTTGTTCCTGCTCTTTTAATCTCCAACCCTGGTATATCCACACCATTCTCTACCATCCCCCTTCTCTGCACATATGCTTGAACTCCTAATACTTTAGAGGAAGTCATTAAACTGTAGAATTCACGCTATGCTTCAACTGGGTCCTTACTGCTGCTGGCAATAGTTATATTTATCTCTGATTGGTTCCCTGTACTACTAATAATAGCTTGCCTTTATATGACACATTAAGGTTTGCAAATTACTTTATAAATATTATCTCATGTTATCCTTGGAATAATCCTAAGGGGTAAGTGCTATAATTATTCTTATTTTTACAGAAGAGGAAACTGAGGCAGACAGAGGTTTAAGTAGCATGCCCAGGATCACACAGTGAGTATCTGAGAAAGGATTCTCCAAGGCAACTGTTCCAAAACTTCTCTTATTTCTTGGTTCCCCCCGCTGCATGCACCTTTACTCCCTCACTGGAGGACTTTGTTTTACTGAGATGACTGAAGGCCTCCGTCACCATCTTCTGCATCTCCCCCTATGCCTCAAAATTTCTCCATTTCTTCCCTTCTATTATTGTCCTCTTTCAGTCCCAGCAAGTGAGGTAGTCCTCCTTGCCAATGCTATCTTCTCCAATAGGGCCTTCCATGGCGTCCTCTCTAGGCTATTGTGGGAGTCTGCTGCATTGATTGTTTCCTCTATCATTTCTTTAGTCTTCCCCTGTCTGTTTCTTCCTTCCCTGATGCTGACAGAAGGATAAAATCTCAACCATCCAGAGAAACGGTTTCCTTGTCCCTATTTTCCCCTTAAGGTATCATCTTATCTCTCCTCTCTTCTTTATTGCTAGACTTCTAAACTTCTAACTACAGTGGTTTAGATTCTGTCTCCACTTTAGCACCCACTCTCTCCTCAGCTCCCTAGTATCTGGCTTCCATATTCCGCCCCCGCCCCCTCTTGAAAACATTCTGTTTAAGGTCGGCAGTGAATGATCTCCTAAATGCCAAATCCAGTGTTCATTTCTTAATTCTTCTTCCCTCCCTGACTTGAACTTAATGCTGTTGATCTCCCTCTCCTTGACACTCCTGCCTTCATTGGCTTCTGGGACACAGCTCTCTTCTGTCCCCTCCCCTCCCCTCCCGCCTCTCTGACTGTTGTCCTTCAGTCATTTTTTTTTTTCCTCCTGATTCACTGCCTTATTCCCATTCACCAAGTGTAGATGACCCCAAGGATCCATCCTCAGCTCTCTTCTCTCTCTGTACTCTTTTTTTTTTTTTTGGTGATTTCATCCACTCTTGTGACTTAATTTATCATGTTTAAGCAAATAACTCCAAATCCAAATTTATATCTTCAGCTTCATTCTCTCCCCTAAACATCAATGCTACGTTTTCAACTGCCTACTGAACACTTTCTCTGCTATTTCCTAATGACTCTTCAAATCTAACATATCCAAAAGTTGAGACGTTCCCTTTCCCATGAAACCCATGGTCCTTCCAAATTCTCTCTGTCAGACTACCATTATCTCAGTCACCCAGGTTCTAATCCTGAGTCATCTTTGAGCTTTCACTTTCTTTCATTCCCCCATACCCAGCCAATAAATCAGTTGTTAAGCCCTATCAATTCTGGTTTTTCTTGTTTCTATCCATCTTTCTCCACACTCATGATACCACCCCTCCAATCCCCTCCCTCCCACTCATTTCTGGGCCTCATTGACTCTCATATGGATTGATGTAACAGCCTCCAGTCTCTCTTCCTCTCTAATCCATCTTTCTTAATGTTGCCAAAATATTCTTCCTAATTCACAGGTCATGCCCTCCCTCCAAATATCTTCAGTAGCTTTCCACCATCTATAGGATCTGATATGGAATTGTTAGCCTGCCAGCTAAGGCCCTCCACAATCTTACATTGACTTACCTTTCCAGTCTTATTTCATTCAACACCTCTGCCTGTGTTTCAGTCAGAGTGAACTACAGGCTATTTCCTGATCTTGTCCTGGCTTCTCCTGCCTCCATTCATTTGAACACCTTGTCTGCACCACAATCTTTCCATCTCAGACTGTTGAGGGAATCTCCCTCAGCCTCCATCTTCTTCTGATTCCTCCACCTTCCCTAGATTCTTCATAGTTTCTGAGGAAACTTTCTTATGGGTCTCATCTCTATCACAATCTACCTTTTAAAATATATTCTAACATCAGTAGAAAATTGATATCCTTTGTTGTTATATTGCTTTTATTTTTTAATATAACCTTCCTCTGCTTCCCTGCCTAGAGAAACTTGTAATATAACAAAGAATACAAAAGAAAGAGAAAAGACAAAAACCATTCAATCAAACTAGTTAGCATATCAATGGAGTCTGCTGGTGTGTGTGATGTTCCACATCCATAGTCCCCCACCTCTCTCACTGCCTACCTTATATATCTCCTATCCTTTCAGGGACAATAGGCTTCTTGTGTTATGGGGATCACACACTTAAAACTGGAAGAAAACTTAGAGATTATCTATAACTCCCTAGTTATACAGATAAAGAAAATAAGTCCCTCAAAGGCTGACGATTTTTTCCTAAGGTCACACAGGTAGTAGCAGAGTTGGGAATGACTCTAAGTGAACTCCATTTTTATTTTTATCTTTTCATCCCCAGCACCCAGCATAGTGTCTTGCACATAATAGGCATTTAAATGTTTGCTGAATCCAACGGAATTGAACTGAGTCTCTGACTCAAGAAAGCCTTCTTCTTATACCAAGTAGGCACAGCTTCCACACAGGTTTAGGAACAAGATGAGAGGAACAGGAAAGGAGAGATCAATCTATCTGAATGTCTTGTTCCAGGGATGCTCTAAGTTGGAGACAGCTAGATGGCATAGTGGATAGAGTGTGCTAGACCCGGAGTCAGGAAGACCTGAGTTCAAATCCAGCCTCAGATACTTACTAGCTGTGTGACCCTGGGCAAATCACTTAACCTCTACTTGCTTCAGTTTCCTCAACTGTAAAATGGGAAATGATAACAACACCTACCTACCAGGGTTGTCGTTGTGAGGATCAAATAAGGTAATATTTGTAAAGCACTTAGCACAGTGCCTGGCACATAGTAAGTGCTATATAAATGTTTGTTCCTTTCCCCTGCCCTTATTACATGACTGACCCTCTTCTTTTGCTGATCATACTATTCCTGGATAATGTCTTTGACTTCCCCTATAGACTTTTAGTCCACAGAAATCTACTTATCATTACTCTGAATCCTTTGAAAACAGCTTTTCCAACACCTAGGGTATGTGTTTGATTATACCCAAATTTCTCTCCTTTTCTGTCACAAACTCTGGAGGGGAATCATCCTTTCCTCCCAGTATTCTCATCATTTCCACTTCAACAAGTTCCTCCCTATTAGTGAAAATCAGACACAGGGCAGAATTTCCCATTGCTAGTCCCGTCACCTTTTGAAGGATGAATTTAACACCAAGGCAAGGCAAGAAGTTATTAGTTGCTCTGCTTTTGGTAGAGACCTCCAGCAGATGTCCAGATAACTGAAGTCCCCAAACACTACTATATCATGTCTGTGTCTGGCTTGTGATCTGTTTCCCCAACTCCTCACCTATTTTCTCTTTCTGTCCAAATGGTCCTTATGGAATATCCCAATGACACAATATTTTTTTGTTTCTCCCTCCATTGACCTTCTCCAGGATGCTCCCACCATGCTTTCCTCCCATTCCCACCGCCATGTTCCTGGATTTCCTCATATGACAGATTTTCATAGCTGAGGAAAGAGAAGCTCAAAGGGGTTGAGTGATTTGCCCAAGATCAAATAGATAATGGCAAAGCCAGTATTTGAATCTAGGTTTTCCGATTTCAAATCCAGTTCTTTTTCCACTGTATCATTGTGCTCGATTTATAGTCTAGAAACATGGTAATATTCCTCTTGACTGCATTCGGGTATTTGCCTGGTGGTCTATATTTGTATAGCTGGAAGAACAATGATCCACTTCTGTCCCTTCTCCCAAAGGTATTCTAAATGGTAACACACAGGACTCTGCACCCTGTGAAATTCATTTCTGAAAAGGCCACACTCCCCACCCCCAGCCCAAGAGCTCAGTAATAAGGACTATTTCTTAGAGGCCCTGAAATTGTTGATTCATCATGGGACTTTCCTAACCAAGTTTTCCCCTGCAGTTCTGCCAGAATGTGGATGGCCCCTCCCTCCCTCTTCGCAGAGGTGGGGGATTATGGGTTTGGAAGACTGCATATGATGTCAGGTTTGATTTTTTTTTGGTTTTTGTTTTTGATATGCTGTTTAGTTTTGCCCAACTTTCCCCTACACTCTCTCCACCCCAATGCACTTTTTAATCGTTTATTAAAAAATGTTCACTGGGAGGGAGGAGGAGAGGAATACATTGGGATATATAGATGTAAAAAACAAAAGATTCTAATAAAAATACAAAAAAGGAATTTCCACCATTAGAGAGTTATTATTTAGGGATAAGGCATTCTTTCTCCAGGGGGTCCCTGTTAAAATGAAAGTATGTGTTTTAGAGTAGTAACATATTAACCCATGAACAATCACTGACATATTTGTTTATCAGGTTAGTTGTCCCCTAGCAGAATGTGAGAAGACTTCACTGTCACGGCTCTTTCAAATTGTTCTCTTAGGATCAGTTGTACTTTGGGACATTGAGAACTTTTCTTGGTCTCTGATGGCAAAGGCACAGTCTTATTAGGGCCCAGGGGGATTGGCTGATTGCACAAGTTTTCAAGAAGAGGAGGGCTTTAGGAATTGCTCACGGCATGGGGTGTTATCTAAGTGGTAGGTAGTAGAAGGGTACTGTGGGGGAAAACCCCCAAAAAAGGAGAGAAGGTGAACAAAAAGAGTGGAGAAGGACCATAATGTATAATTTTTTTCAACTAGGGAAAGGAATTTGAAGCATGTCTGGGGCAGACATAGTGCCTTTGTATCAACCCCCCCCCTTTTTTTTTTAAGCAATTGGGGTTAAGTTGCTTGCCCAGGGTCACACAGGTAGTAAGTGTCTGAGGCTGGGTTATGAAGTCAGCTCTTCCCTGACTCTGTAAGTTCAATGCTCTATACATTGTACCACCTAGGTGCAAACTTCAACACAGACACAAATGTGCCCAGGGTTGACTCTGCCTGCAGCAGCCTGGCATTATGGGACTTTCTCTTCTGGGTGGAATAATCTGACTTTATCTGTAAGGGGTTACCACATCGGATGTCATAGTATACCTAGGGCACTCGGTGACCTGGAAATATGCACCTACCAAACCCGGAAAGATAATTTCCAAACTTTTGGCCACTTGTGGTATAGGCCCAATAGGCATTGACACCAGAAAAGCCCTACCCCATTCCCAAGGCTTTGGGATCCCCTGGGCTCCGAAGAATGACCTGTAGTGAGATACCTTTGGTGTTCCTTCACAAACTCCACAAGCTCTTCCTCCGTGTAAGGTTTATCTGGGATTGCAGTGGGCTCTTCCATAAACGGTTCATAGAAGTCAACCTCATTCATCTTCAGGGTTAACTTCTTTGCAACCTGTGGAAATGGAATAAAATAACAGCTAGGGTCAGAAGAGTTTCCCTGAACACCGGTGCACAGCAGTGACTGAGCTGTCTCTTTGAGGGAAGGGTCTGTGTTCTCAAAAGTTACCTCAGCAGGGAGGGGGAGGGGAAGGGAGGAAGGGGAGTATAAAAAGGCAAAGCTGACAGACTGGTGCAGCCTTTCTGTTTCTTTATGGCTTCTCAAACCTAGCTTTGTGACTGTAGGCAAGTGGGCAAGCCTCTCTATGTCTCAGTTTCCTCATTTACAAAATGAGGATAATAATAGCTCCTATTGTCATAGATAGCTAGAAGGAACTTGAGAAACCATCTAGTCAAGCCCTCTAATTATTTAAAAGAGGAAACTGAGGCCTCAGCAAATTATCCAGGGTCATACAGGCGGTAAATGTCAGAGGTGGGATTTCAATCCACTCTATTTCTGAGTCAGGAGGATCAAATGGTATCAGAAATGCAAAATGCTTGTAAAATTGATATCAACAACCATTATATGGAATCAAGGAGCAATTGGAATTAAAATTTGAAGAACTTAATCACATTTTCAGCAGAGGTAGAATAGTGTGGAGATAAGATGCTGGTGGTGGAGGCAGGAAAACCTAGGTCCAAATCCTGCCTCAGACCAGTCCTAGCTAGGTAGTTACAGTCAAGTCATTTTAGTGCTCTGTGCCTCAGTTTCCTTATATGTAAAATAGGGATAATAATTCTTGTAATACTTACATTGGAAGGTTGTCATGAGAATCAAATAAGTCAAGAAGACCTAGGTTCAAGTACTACCTTTGACATGTACTGGCTACATGACCTGCTCAGCCCCACCTCTCCCTAATTTTCTAAGTCTTTAAGTTATGTAACAGTAACTGATCTGACTTCAGTATAGTTTCCTTACCCAGAGTTCCTAAGTCAGTGAAATCACAGGCTTAGACTTCTTCCCTTTTCCACAAAAAAAAAAAAACACTTTGAAAATTTTCAAGTGTTAAATCAATGTAATTTATCATTTTTCTTACTACCATAATTTTATTTTTCGCTATTACTACCATTTTATTTGGAAGGCGTTGGAGAAGGATGGAGTAAAGAAAAAAAAATAAAGAAAAATAGAAAGCTGAAAACAATGTTCTGGAATGTGAGGGTGTGTGATTGACCGAGCTTCTGGAGGCTCCCTGGGACTCAAAACAAAAGCCTTTGTTAACAATGATCGGCCAAGAATCCTTCCCCTGATCTAACCCTTTAGCCTCCTAGCTATTTGAGTGGGAGGGCCAGCCTGGAGAATTATGTCTCTTGGTGCCAAGTTCCACTCTCTTCTGGCCATCTCTCCTGATGACCCATATCATTAGCTGAATTTCTCCTGGCACCAGATGAAAAGCATGGGGGACCAGCCAATGGCCTGGGTGACATTTCATCTCTCCCAAACCCCCACTGGCATGTTTGCCTCAGGAGTCCCTGCCCTCGGGACACCTGATGCCTCCTTTGTGAAGGGACTGGAGAGGCTGAGAGTGTGAAAGCTCTAAAGAAAAACCCAAGTGGTTCCTTCCCTTTCGTCCAGTGCTGGTGTGGGAAAGAAGATACCTGAGCCATGAGTGACAGTGGGGAGATGCCCAGATCAGCTGGCTGCCCCCTCGTGGTGGTCACTATTCACTATACCAATTGGATTTGGTAACATGAGTGGTGGGGAGTGTTGTAGGGAGTTCAAATCAAAAGACCTTGGGAAACCCCAGCATTTTGTCATCAGTTTTGATGGACTCCTGGCCTTCCAACTCCCAGTAGAATCAATTGTTTCTGTTTGGTTTTGTTTGTTTTGTTTTTAATAAGCACTTTGCCAGCCTCCACCCAGTACCTTTTGTTAAAAGCAACTCATTTGGCTCAAAAGCAAAAAGTGGGGAGAACTGGGAAAAGAAGTGGAGGAAGGAAATTGAATTGTCATGTCTGTTTGGAGGGGCAGGAGGCTGAGGCGGGCTTCCTTCTCCATATACCTCTTCATAGGTTCAGAGATTTAGAGCTGGAAGAAGCCTCAGAGGTCGTCTGGTCAAACCCCCTCACTTTCTAGATGAGAAACCAAGGCTTAGGGTGCTGAAGTAACCAGGGAGGTAGCACAGGTAATAAACAGTCGAGCCAGAATTGCAACCCACATCTTCTGAGTTTAAATCCAGCACTTGGCTAACTATACTACATTGTCTCCTGTCTTCTCTCTGTCTCTGTCTCTGTCTCTCTCTGTCTCTCCTCTTCTCTGTCTCTTTCTCTGTCTGTCTGTCTCTTTCCCTCTCTCTCTCTGTGTCTTTCTCTCTTCTCTGTCTCTCCCTGTCTCTATTTCTCTCTGTCTCTGACTGTCTCTAGTACCCTCCAGCCTCAGGTTGGATATTGACACTGGACCCTGACTTTCTGAATTCAGTTACATCGTGGCCTAGATGGTAGAAAAAGTAACCACTCGTGGAGGGGAAAAGGAGGGAAAAATGCAGCAGAGGGAAGTACTTAACTACTATTTTCTTGGATTCTTTCCATATGTGTTTTCTTTGGAATTTGGATCTGCCTCCTCTCAGAGACAATATTCTCATTGACGCTCCCAAAGAAATTAATACTGTGTCTTCCTTTAAGCTATTCCTGTATTCATGAAGAAGCAGAACTTCTCCTGGGGGGTGGGAGTGGGGTAGGCTAGTGGGTAGGTAGTGATGATGGGTACACTCAAAAAAAGATTTTTAATAAAACATTTTATTAAATAATGGAAGAAGAAACATGCAGAGGGGCATATAAAAAGAACAGTTTTGTCACTACCTTGTTAAATTAAATATATATGTATATGAGTGTGTGTTTATGTGTGTGTATTCACAGACACCACAGAGATAGACCTCAGAGACTATCAAACCCAACCCTTTCATTTTAAGGATGAGGGAACTGAGGCCTAGGAGGTTAGGTGACTTTGTATAAAATGACCCAGATTGGGTCAGAGCCAGATTTTTAACCTGGGTCCTATAATGAGAGGCAGTGGATAGATTTAGATTCAGGAAGACTTGGTTTGAAGCCTACTTCAGACCCTTATTAACTGTATGACACTGGACAAGCCTCTTAACTTTACTGGGCCTCAGTCTCCTCATCTGTAAAATGAGGGGGTTGCAATTGACAACATCTATGGTACCTGCCAGCTCTATGATCTATCCTGCCTGTGTGTGTATATACATATATATTTCTTTAAGAATATATATATAATATACATTATACGTAATGTATATATAACATACACATAGCACATTAAAGTACATACATAGAAGTTTATAGTTTCTTATACAAGCCTATTTTTGTTCAACTTTGTATAGCAAAATGTTTGTATCTGTTAGTTCACAATAAAAAAAGAAAATTTAATTTGAGAAAAAAAGAAATAGAGCATCGTCCTTGTTATCATAGGGCTTGGGTCCCCACCTCAAGACCCACAATTTGGACAGGCCTCTCTTTTTGTTTCCAAGAAGGCCTAGTCATAGACTGTCATTGAGTGGTCAGTGAATGAGGCATCAATTATTCAAGGAAAGTCTGCAAGCAGGGCTTCTTGGAAGCAAGAGGAAGCCTGTCCAAATGGTGGGTCTCAAACATAATCGGAAGTGTTGATGCATGTGTGTGCACGGCATGTGTGTGCTCTGCACTTATGCCTGGGCCAGCAGGATTTTAAGTTTAGATAGAAAGTCCAGATGATGTATAAAGTCTAGGTTCCCCAAGGAAAGTTTTTCCAAGGCTTCCCTTGCCTCCACTAGCCCTGGAAATGCCCTCCTGGTATCCCTTGGGAAGTTCCTGCTTTCATGCTTCTTACTGTCTGTGGATGCAAAGAGATTGAATTCACTCTTTACCTAAAGTGGAGCTCATTCATTCTTTTGACAAATATTTATTGAGAGTCTACTGTGAGCCGGGCTCTGTGCAAGGCTCTGATCTGACTCCTTAGTGTTATTACACTATTTGAGAATGCTATATTAAGAGCTGAATAGGCCCTCTGGTGACCATATAACTAAGTAGTTGAGCCTCTTATTTATTTTAATGGTAGCAATGGATTTTGCCAGAGGAGAGGAAAGCACTAAGACGTTTATATGGTGATCACACAAGGGCAGACAGTAGTGCCAATGCTTATTCTAAAAACGGTCAGCCTATATACCCTGTGAGTCTGTTTAGGTGCCATTTCAATTGATGAGAAATGAAACCAGCTTAGGACAATTTGTAACATCCCTCAGAGCTCAGAAGTAAAGATTTCTCAACATCGGCCTTCTTGATCAACTTTGCTTTGTTAGCTGGGAGCTTTCTTCTCTCCAACATTCTCCTGTATTCAGTGGGTCACAAAGTCCTCCAGCTAAGTCATCCTCTACAATATCTTTGTCCTTTCCTTTCTTTCATCACTACAACAGCTTTCTAATGGGTCATCTTGTTTTTAATATTTCCCTGTTCTAATTCACACTGTTGGCATTCACTTTCTCAAAAAACATTTTCATCGTCGCTATTTGGGGCTCTTGTAAAACCATCCTAACTTGTCTTCTTGCTTCCACTACCTTTCCCCGCCAATCCATCCAGAACTAAGTCATTTTCCTCAAATATGATCTTATTGTTTCTCTGATCAAAAACCTTTTGATCAGAGCTCTCTAGTGCCCATAGGATAACATTCAAACTCTGCATCATTGAGCACTTGCCTGGCTTTCCAGGCTTATTTCATTCTACTCCCAGTACGTATTCTGCACCCAGCCAAAATAGCTTGTTAGCTATTGCCAGAATTTATCCTTCATGCCGATTTTCAGAACTTATCCTGTCCTCTCCTGCCTTCATGAGTTCATGCAGGCTATTCCCTATGTCCAGAATAGACTTCCTACTCCGCTCAACCTACTCTTCCTTCCTGGCTCAGTTCAGGTGCCAAACCTTCTAAGAAGGTTCCCCAACCATAATCTGCCTCCAACTGCCACCACCAGGTGAAAGTTGTCTCTCCCTTTAAGTATTTTCTTAAAACTCTCTTCTCGGGGCGGCGAGGTGGTGCAGAGGATAGAGCTCCAGCCCTGGAGTCAGGAGGACCTGAGTTCAAATGTGACCTTTACTAGTTGTATAACCCTGGGCAAGTCACTTAACCCCATTGCCTAGCCAAAAAAAAAAAAAAACCAACCTCTCTTTTTTGCCCCTCAATATTCTCTTTCATACATCCTTGGATATGTACGTGCTGTATCCTTTCTCAAAGATGATAAGTCCTTAAAGGGTTGCTGCCATGTTGCTTTCCATCTTTACATCCTCCACACCCATCACCACACTAGTCACAGATGATGAAGAATTAAATTAAATCATATAAAATCTAAACTCTTTCTTATATTCAAGGTTCAAAATCAACTCTTAGCTTTCCATCTCATTACCTATTTCACACTCACACACACACACACACACACACACACACACACAATGTAGAGACACCAGATGGGACACCATTTACTTCCTATCCATAATTTTCCATCTTCATCATTTGTCATTCCTTAACATTGTCCTTCAGCTGTAGCCAAATTAGTCTATTTGCTTTCCTTTATTCCTAAACACATATATACTGTTTGCTGTTTCCTGCCTCCATGCATGTGCATACCATTCACCTCTCCAGTCTCTTTCATCCTTTCTACAAGTGTATATCCATTACCTCCTTCAAAAACTACCTAAAGACCTACCTCCTACTGAAGGCTTCTGAGATTAACCCCATAGTATTTTGGCCTTTCCTATCGATTGTCCTCAGGTATTGTTTGTGTCCTGCCTCCTCCACCAAATTGAGAACAACCTCCTAGGACAGTATTTTAATCCTTTAGGATATGCTAAAAGCACATAGAGAGTCATCAAAAATGCCTTCTGGCTGCCAACTACTTCTAATTATGCTGAGTACAAAGTTTCCACGGGCAGTATTCCTTTCCCTTTGCCTGCTACACCTGCCATGTTTGTGGGGATTGGGAAGAGGCCCAGTTCTTATAGAATCCAGAAAATTTCTTGGGCTTATAATAAATTCTAGGAAAATTCTGGAGAATAGGACAACTCCCTCTCTGACCAGAAATCTAATATAGAATACTCAGAACCATCTTGCCTACTTTGGAGGCTCTCCTAACTTAGAAATTCACCCCAGCCACTTCTGGAAGGCTCAGAGCAGGTACCATTTGGGATGATCTTATGGAATCTTAGGACTCCCTAGGATTTAGAGTTCCTCTAGGCCAAAGGCACTTTGCACTTTAAAGGGACCCTTTTATCCTTTCTGTGTTTTACTTCTTAAAAGTGTGATGGCAGCAGATGGTTAGACATTCCTTGAGGTAAGTCATTTTAATAGCCCTCTTTAATTCAATTGTCCCTTATTTCCCATGACTGGTTTCTTGGGAAATAGATAATAAGATTGAAAGCTAATAGGAAAGGAAAGGAAAGGAAAGGAAAGGAAAGGAAAGGAAAGGAAAG